GAAGAACCTAGGAGAGAGAAATGACTGTTTTCTAGCCATTGGTCCAAGGATGGGGAGAGCCCATTGGTCCAAGGATGAGGAGAGCCGGCGGCATCGTGCCTGCTGCCCCAGCCCCTGCTCGTCCCCCTCCAAACCCTGGATGGTCAAAAGCCTGTGGTCTGTGTTGGGCAGCGTCATTCACTGGCCGTGCCCTCTCCACCCACTGGGCCAGCACAAGCTCGCTCTGCACCAGACCACCTGGAACAGGCCAGGCTTCAGCCAGCTCTGTCCTGGTGGGTTAGAGCTGGCATCAGGATGGTGTGACAACTGCCACATGGAGGCCACCGGGTCCTGGGGAAAGACCAAAGGCATCTTCAGACCACAGTTCTGGACTGAGGCCAAAGCTGGGGACAGGCAGCAAAGAGAAAGTCGGAAAGGGCCCCAGTCAGCCGCAGGCCTTGGGCTGTCTGTGGTGGGAAACCAGCTGGCACAGTGGGTGCAGGCGGCTTCTCCCAGCTCAGGCCAGGCACAGGAACCCTGGGAGTGACAAGTGACATTTTACCCTCGGGATCTGCAAAGAGGCGACCTATGGAGGCAGCCTTGGGTGGAAGCAGGACTTGCTGGGTCCAGCAAGAGGACTTGGACCAATGTGACAATGGTCAGGAGCAGTGGAAAGTTCCAGAAGGCCCAGACCCATGCTGGCCGCAGAGCTGACAGTATCTGCTATGTGACTGGATGACAAGAATGAGAGAAAGAGAGCCCCACAGTGACCCCGGACTGGGGCTTGAGGACAGAAGGGAGGGGTGCTGTGTGGTGATGAGGGAGCCAGGCACAGAACCCAGCAGGTGGGCACGGCCCGGGCCAGGGAGGTGCACCAGGGTCCTGGGAGTCCTTGCCCACAGGGGTACCACCAGCAGGTCAGCCGGGCAGTGGCTTTTTCTTTCTTTTTTTAAAAAATTTAAATTGATTTATTTTACATTCATTCACGGAACACCATCACAGCATACAAAATGCTATTTCCCATCCAGGATACTCTGTATAGTGGCTTAATCATACATGTTATGATATATATATATATCTCCGTCCCCCCATTTCTCACCCTCTGCCATTTCCCACCCTCCTCCCACACTGTCTCTGGTGCCTGCCGTTGCTTTCCATTCCTTTTCTCCCCCCACATTTTATTGATTCACAAAATATCTTAACTCATCTAAGTACTTTGAATAGCAGTTTCCGCTGATGTATACATACCTGTGACACTTGTCTGACTTTAGGCATGGAACTCTGTGAGTAGGATGAATTACTATAAAGTAGCACCTAGCTGAGGCTATATTATGTGGTCATTAAATAGGTGTTTTAAAATATATTTTTTAATTCCTGCCACCTTAAGATTAGATCCTAAGATGGATTTAGCGGGCCACAACCAATCTCTTTAATAACTGAAACAGAGTGGGGCTTTAAATATCGAGTGAATCACACATTGCAGGAGTAAATTTTTCTTTCTTTCTCCATCCAGGTACCCTCCAGCTCTTCTCTGTGACGGGCAGCTTCATGGACAAAGGTGGGTATGAAGGCATCATCCTTCATGGCTAGTGTCTTCTCAGCCCTTGTCCCTGTTTGTCACCATTAGATATATTCTTGTCCCTTTGTCTGCCCAGTTCTCCGGTCTTACTGTCTGTCTTCTCCTAGGGCATCCTTGCAGCCTGGGGCCCCAGTACGCCAGCACCAAGTCCTCACCCCTCCTTGCCACCTGCACAGGTGGGACCTGGGCGGCGAAGAGCAGTCCTGGACCCCAGCCCCACAAAGCATAGTGTCAAGGAATGAAGTCTACACTGAGATCTTGGGGCTGGGGTCTGGTGCCTGGGAGGAAGTTTGGCTCACCCGTTAGTTTGTCTCCCTCTCTCCCTCCTTGCTCTCCCCCTCTCCCTCTTCCTCCCTTCTTTCTTCATGCATTGAGGCCTCTGATGGGCCCTGCACTGTATCGGGCACTGGGAATATAAAGACATCCTTTGCTTCTAAGTTGCCTAGACCGGGTGGTGGAGAGAGATAAAGCAAAAAGGAATTTTCCCGGGAGCTTTTTAGAAACTGTGATGCTGGTCCCAGCCACAGGGTGGACCTGGGCATTGGGGTAGCTGAAAAGCTCCCCAGGTAATTTGAAGGTGCAGCCCCAGTTGGAGCTGAGGGGGGCAGTGCTATTCCATGACCAGGGGCTTGGACCTGAGAGTCCCGCCAGTGGTTCTTGAGTCCTGACTCCTGCCTCTTCCCACTGGTGGCCTTAGCCAAAACACTGCACTCTGTGACTTAGTTTCCCTGTTTGGAAAACAGGCATGTTAGGGAGTTGTTTGAAGCGTTCAATGCACTAATGGCATGTCATGCGTGCTCAGCAAACCTTGTCTTGTTATTGAGCGCCACGACATGTAAGAAGGGCAGCTGACCCAGGATGGGGCTGAGAGTGGGGAGATGGCTGGGCATAGAAGAGGGACATTGAGTGAGTGGCAGAATGGACGACTCAGAGAGTGGGTGAGGGTGGCCAGCCTACCAAGCCGAGACAGCAGCTGGTGCAAAGGCGGGCTGGCAGACTGGGTGCAGCTGAAAACCAGAGGTGAGGCCGGAGAGGAGCACTGCAGTGTGGCTGAAAGCCCCTCGGGACTCGGGCTGGGGTGGCATTGGGGCCGCCATGCAGTGACAGCCTCTTCTGCCCCAGTCCAGCAGCTGGTGAGCAACGGCAAGACCTTCTTCCGTGTGGAGGAGGCGCTGAGCTGGCACGAGGCGCTGCAGCACTGCCGGCAGCAGCACGCAGACCTGGCCGACCTGCAGAGCATGAACAGCCTGCAGTCCATCGCCAGGCTCTACTCCCTCACCAGCGGCACCGGGGCCTGGATCGGCCTCTTCTTCGACGTGCACACTTCTGCCCTCAGATGGTCCAGCGGCTCCGCCTTCACCGACCCCGTGTGGACCACTCTGCCCTCTTTCAGGGATGGCCTCTGCGCCACCCTGTATTCGGTGTTTCTGGCCCCTGCCCTGGGGGCTGCCTCCTGCACAGACAGGAAGCCCTTCATCTGCTATAATGGTATGTGCAGATTCATCCTCTGGACCTGGCCTCCCCGCCCCTGCAACCCGGGTTGTTTTCAAGAGCAAACAAGGGGCCAGCAAGTGGTGTGGTGGTAGAGGCACTAGACTCCCATATGGTCGACTGTGGTTCAAATCCTGGACCCGGTGGCTTGCTCTCTATTTCTCTGTGTGCGCTATAGCAAAAATTTTCAAAATAATAAAAAATAAAATTAAATAACTTTTTTTTTT